GAACGAAACAACGTTTTACTGCTTTAACGTTTTATCCTTTATTAAAAAAATTTCAAAGAAAAACGTAAACGTTCTTTCAAACTTTTAATCTTTTTTTGATAGTTAATGTACATAATATTTTTAACCAATAAAATTTTATAATTTATGAAATTAAATTTAAAAACATCGAAGATAAACGCGATCGAGGGTTTGTTGCACTTTTATATTATATTGCATCATAATACGTATTTTGCAAATCGCACCTTATGAGACAAAAGGATTGGAAATAATTCTGAGCCAAATCCTTGATTGCTTGCACACGACGAAATTTGTCGATGCAATCTTGCATTCTTGCCGAGATGCTGTATTTTTTTTTTTTTTTTAATTTTTGCCTTTTAATTTTTGTTTATACAATCTGTTTGCTTTGCTTTATAATAATTTTAATCATATTTTTTTTTGATATATAAAACGTAGAATCACATTTTATTTGTGTATATCACGTTTATTCCACACTTCATAATTGCACGATTCTTAAAAAAATGAAATGAATATTTGCTGAAAAAACAATAGTATATTTAACCTTTGCAAATCTCGCTGCGCAAAAAAAAATTTTATGCCGAATAAAAACTTTTCTCCGCTAAAACTAACTATTCAGGCAACGAGGAAAGACAGACGATGTGCACGTTGCCATGATGCTTGAGAAACAGGTTATCATCACATTTATTGCGCTTCATTTTCATCAACCTTCATTTATATAAAAATCACTCGAATTAATTCTAATAATTGGATCTGGCAATAATAATCTTGTTTCGCGTAAAGGAAAAATCGAAATTATAAATTCTCGTGATCGAATCTAATTTGAAATACTTGAAATCTATTACACAAGTAAATATTTTTAAAAATCTTTTATCTCGTTCCGAGACGCTTCTTACAGAAATACCGATCGTGAACGAGGCGTTCTCGTCGTGGAAGAAAAATTGAAATACGTGCACGGGGATAGGCGCTATGTGTTTCCCTCCAGAAAATTCCTTTTTAGGCGGTTCGCCATTTGTTTTTCCGGTTGCTCGGCTCCGTTTCCTCGAACGAAAAACATGGAACGAAAATCGTGGGTGGGATATTGGGAGAAGTTTAAAAATAGAAGGGCCGGGACCCGTTTTTGAGAGAAGACAGAAACGTGTTCCGCGTTTCCAGTGGGGTAAACGACGAAGAAGCCAGTTGGGGTTGCAGACGACGAGGCTGTTGCTCCGTATTAGGTGACGACAAGATTGTCTCCGCTTCCGGTGTAGCACGCGCCTTGCCGGAAGTTTCTCGTTTCTTTGATTTCCCTATGCAACGTATTTACGAGCTATAGTTCCTTTTATAGTTTCCTTTTTTCTTTTTTTTTTTGCTACGATTCATTTTCGAAACGAAACAGGCGTTTCAAGGATCGATACAAGGATATATACTTTTCTTTTCTTTTAAATTATCATAAACATTCCGCCGTGAATATAAAGATATTTGCTTTAATATTTCCTTACAACGTTATATTTTTTTTTCATTTTATTACAAATATGAAAATGCATAAAATTTATTATTCCTCGACACGCTTTTTTTCGGATACGCTTGGTCTTTTCAAAGATAAAACAAAGTGATTTTATTCTCGATATTATACTTACATCTACATCGTTAAAATTATTTTAACGAAAGGAATAAATGACACGGTTGGTCAGGTAGTTGGAGAAACAATGCGATGCAACGCGTCAATAGCGCCCTTCTATTCCGTTTCTTCGAAGATCGAAAACGATCGGAAATATTTTTGGCCGAGGTTTCGTAGAACCGAAGAAGAAGCATGTTCAAAGGTCATCCGTGACATTCCGTCGATGAGTATCTACTTGTGAAACGTCACCCTAAACGAAACCCGAAATACAGAGAGAAGAAGACGAAGAAGAAGAGGGAAGAGAGAGAGAGAGAGAGAGAGAGGAAGGAGGCACCTTTGAAAAAGCAACAGCTACCCACTAGTATGGGCCGACAACGATCCTTCTGCGAAAAGCGTTTTCTTTTTACCTGGACCGGTTCGGGGAAACGTGGAAAATAACGCGCCACTGCGTTTTCATCCCAGTGATGGCTCCTTTCTTTTCTCCAGCCTTCGAAAACACTTTAAGACCGCCGCGTCGATCTCTGCGGGACTTTCCACCATCACGTGAAACAAACGCACGCCTCTACTTTTATATCTTCGTCGCGTGACAGTGCTCTCTTACAAATACACGACTCCGCAACGACAAAGAGAATCATAGAACAATTGCAAATATGTAAATCCATCGATCCTATTTAGACGCTTATAATCGTTAACGAATCTAGAATGGAAGGGAACACGTACGAATGATGGATATTCGACGCGTGTGTTTTTGCCAAAAATTAGCGCATTGCTTTTTAATTTAATCATACGAATCGGTCGTATCGACGTCCTATAATTTGAGGAAAATACAATAATAGTTTTATAGCGAATAGAAAAATAATTATAGATCCATAGAATAACGTCCATTTTCAATATCATAATTATAATTTACGCGTATCTTTTTAATCAATTTATCTAGAAAAAAAATAAAATTGAACGTTAATGTTTTTGTTAAATAAAAAATATAGACAATGGTCGAAATATTTTGAGAGTGAGCACATGGTTCTGCGAAGGTTCGTTTCGATATCAAGAAAGGCGCGAAAAATTTAAGATGTACAAGTTTCAATATACGAGTAAGAATAGTAATAACTTTTTAATTAAATATCAATATTAATAGTTCTTACATTTCACTTCAATTTTTTTTATCTCTAATTATTAAATCAAAACAAAATCATATGTATTCGCTATACGAGGTAAAATGAGACGCTTTAAAGAAAAGTAAAATAGATTATATATAATCTATTTTAAAATAATGAAAATGTTCCTTTTAACATATATTTATTCTTAAAACCATTAAAGATTAATTTAGATTGCGAAAAATCGAATGCTAATTTTGTAAAAACGGAGAATTTTCGAGAGAAAGAATTGTCGAGTCGATCGATTCAACTTATCTACATTTTCTCACTGAGTCTAAGATTTCCGATACTTGGAATCCCTTCTTTCTCACTCTTCACTCGTCTTAATCGATTATCGATGTAATTCGAAAGTAGAAAATAGATCGTACGGAAGAAATTTTCCAAGTTTTACCAAGATTCGATCGAATATGCGGTGCGCGCGCATTTTGTCTTACGTGGCGTCGAACGTTTCCCGAAGAGAGGTGCAACTGTCGAAAAAAGATGCATTGTGACGCATGATCCGTCGAGTGTTACATACCGAGCGGACTATTTTTAGGGAGCGGAGGAACATGTTGGCCGTAACACGTGCCGGTGTTTTTCCGTGAACCGATCGAAGCGTGGAAAGAGGGAGAGAGCGACGCGCGGCAAAAGAGGAAAAGTAGATGAGGGTTGGCCTCGAGGAAGCAAGATTTCAGGATTCGGGGGCACGCGACACACGCGTTCACGTATTTTTGGACGAGTCGCTTCCTAGAGCGGCACGGAAGTCGAAGGGGATCGCGAACACGCGCGCCCCTTTTCTTCTTTCGATCAACCTGAGCCAGAGAGAACGGTTTCTCCCAATTCTCCGCCATATATAGAATGGAAATACGTACGAGCTTCACGAATATTTTCTTTCTTTTCTTTCCTTTCATTTTCCTTCCGATTCGCTTTCCTCCTTCCCTCTTTGTTCCAGCACAAGTTGTAACGCGAAAACATCCATGATTCGAGGATAAATTTTATAATTGGAAATTATAATTTATCTGTTTCGAGGAATGATATGTCATTTTTAAGAGAGGAAAAGAAAACGCTTTCTCAAAAATGAAAAGAATTCAATCAATGTCTTTACATCCGATATATATCACGTCGATCGATCGCCGTCTTCGTACAACTAGGTTAATCTTCGTGGAACTACGAAGAGAAAAACTGACTATATATATATAGATACATAGATTCCCGATTTCCTTTTTCTCATCAATCGCGCGGATAAAGAAGCAAAAATTTCATTATCGTCCTCGATAATTTCGATTCGAATGACGAATCGATTCGGAATCGTGATTCCTCGATTTGATTCCTCCTCCTTGTTTCTAAGAGACCTCCACGCGATCTCGAAAGAAGAAGACACGTACACGTAGGTATATGTCAGGAAGGACGAAAAAGAGCGGGAAGCATCGAAGGAAGACGCGAAGAAGTAAAAGACGACGGTTCGAGATGGAGGAGGGTAAATAATCGGTGGACGCCTAATCCTGTAGGAACGCAGCGGGATATTTTTGGCGGGATCTCGTGTCCCGGACAGAAGGCTGGAGGATGGAGTAGGCGGGGAACGGTAGATAAGACCCAGCGCGTGATTAATGGACTAGGGTTGGTTGCTTAGCGTGCGGAAAGGGGAGGGGAATGGAGGGTGTTGTTCGCGTTTCGTCGGCCGACATGAACGATCGTAGAAATCGGTGGGAAACGGGAAACGAGGGGAAGGGAGAGGGGAGCGGAAAAAACGAGCACGTGCTCGGACCGTGGGCCTCACGAAAACGACCGAAAACGAACGAATCCCCCTACCCTCCCTCTCTTTCTCGCTTCCTAGTTGGGCCTTGCCGCCAACTGGTGGGGCAACAGCTACCCTTCACATCCCCCCACTCCTAGGTGGAAAAGTTGGACAAATCGGGAAGGTGCGTTTCCCGCGACGTACGACCCTCAGTTGCACCCACGCTCGTCGCTTTGTAACGTCCTTTCTTCCGAGTCGTTCGCACTCTTCTTCGGAAAACAATTTTTCCCGCGTTTTTTCGCTGTTTCTCGATTAACTTAAATTTAACCAATTACTTTAACTGGAAAGTGAAATTCCGTTTATTTTTCGTTTCTTCTTTTTTCTTCCTTTGTGTTTTTCGACGTGTTTATAGAATTTTTACAAAAATTCGTCGATTTAATTTTTTGTTTAATTCAAGTATTCCGTTTGCGTTACTCATCAAATCGGAGGAAACGTTATGACACGTATTGGAATACGAAAAGCCTAAAAGTTTTTTCCCAAATGTTGGAGATCGATATTTAGGGAAAAAATACGATGGTATGTGAATTTTCTCTTTTATATTCGTATCTTATTATTAAATTTAATCCTATCAGTTGATCGTTTTTCACGTGTTAAAATTATAATTTATAGAAAACGTTTTCCCGAAATTCCATTCCATTGTGAAACGCTATCTCGATTCCAAGATTCCCGAGCAAATTAACGAGCGACGTAATTCCACCACATTACACCTGTCCAGTGTGTTAAGCGGAAGGAGAATCCGCGTGGTCATTCCCCTAACGATCAGCCCGGGAGATTCTCGTTTTCTTTACGAGCATTTCGTAGTGTTGCAAAAGTGCAACTTTTCCTAATCAACGGGGGGGGGGGGGGGGGGGGGTTGTGCCCTCTCGCGGCGTCGCCTTTCTTCCTCGTTCAGATATTTCCACGAAAACGCCTCCGTCGGGGAAATAAAAATGTCCAAGGTCGAGGAAACGTTCAACAATGGCCCCTTGCCTTTCCCTACTGTTTTTTTCGCTTTCGACGCACGAATGATCGCCGGTTAACGGCCGATCGTGAGTTGCAAAGAAACGATCGGATTCCTTCTTAAAATGCCCCAAGTTCTTTCCCCTCTTGACTCGGAAACAATCGATCAAACTGGCCCTTCTTTTATTTCTTCTCCTTTTTTTTCTTTCTTTTTTTTTCTTTTTTTTCTTTTTTTTCTTTTTTTTTTTTTTTTTTGCAATTAGGAATAACGTTAGATTCGCGGGAAGAAATTCTCGTTCCGCGATCCGTGAATATTCCACGATTAATTAATTATTCGAGGGAAATTTTTGGCGGATATCTCGCCTATTCGATCGTATCGGTGCCGATTAAAATAAATTTACATTCACGGTAGTCTGGGTACCGTAACTCGTGAATTCTTGAATTTTTTTTCTTCGTTAGGATGATGAAAGAAGGAAAAAGATCAAAAAGTTTGCTCTTTCGCGAACAAATTAACGATCTTTAATCATCTGTAACTGTTTATTTAATAATAAGGAAGGGATCTTTGTCGGAACGATTTTGAATGAAAAAACGAAGGAAAAAAAAAAAGAAAAAGATAAGAATTTTTTTTTTTTAAAGGAATTTGAACGATTCAAAAATCCATTCTTTCTAATTTCAGACACTCAAGTTCGGTTGGACCTGGTGGAGCATATACCTCATGTGGCGACGATCTGCCAAGAATCTCCTCATCTATTCGACAATGTCGTTCACGATCATTTGCTCGGTATCATTATCAAATATCTACAGGATCAAGATAACCAGGTGAATATTTCTACGATCCATGTTCCCGTCACCGTTTATTATCGAATCATTGCGTTTATGTACGATAAGTATCTTTTCTCTCTTATGTAAAGTCCCCTTCGACAGCCAGGGATAATACCCCCTCTCCTTCGAGAATCGTATTTTTCTCTCTCTGTTCCTTTTTCGCCAAGTTACCGTAACGCGGCAACGAATTGTACAATCCATTGAAGAATTCCTTTTTTTTTTTTCTTTCTGGTTGTTGGCCTAGGTACGAATGACAGCCCAGACAGCGGTGTTAACGTTAACGAAGAAGGGAGTTCTCGACAACATCACGATCGAGGTCAAACTGTGTCCCGTAATAGAAACCCTCTGTAGGTCCGTCGATTTCCTTAGCTCTGGCATCTCCGTAAGTTTCCATATTATTTTTTTTTTTTTTTTTCATTTTGCGTTTCTTTCGTTTTCCCGACTTTTTCTTTTTTATACCATAAATTTACCTCATTCTTTTTTTTTCCCCCCCTGTTATCATTATGTTCTTTGCCTATAATAATCCAATATATAGACTTTAATTCATCGACGTCGTTTCTGGATCAAAGAAGAAGAAGAAGATGATGATGATGACGAAGAAGAAGAAGTGGAGGAAGAGGAAAGAAGAAAAAGAAGAGAACGAAAGGAAAAGGGAAGACTTGAGGAAGGATCGCGATGTCGAACGAATTCCTAACGTCTATCATCGTCCAAATTTTGTTCCCGTTTCGCGAATTTTTGCGAGATTTGTATGTTTCTTTCTTTTTTTTTTTTTTTTTTTTTTTTTTTTTTTGGGAAAA